GGCTCGCTAGTCAAATGCTCCAGAGCCTCCCTAGGATCCCCCCAGCCACCGCCCGGGAAAAACTAGCCTTAAGCGTCTTCTCTTTCTCAGCTCTATCTAGGGAGAGCCGTTTGCGGAGATCAGTGGTGAAGGACCTAATCCTACCCTTAAGTCTCTCCCACCACTTATTCCCCATAACCGCCTCCACTAGCTCCCGCTTCACTAAGCTAGTTAGCTGCTCCTGGAAGTCCCGCCTGTCCAGTAAGGACAGATTGAACTTCCACTAGCCAGCCATTCTAGGCCTACGATCTAACGCCATCCGGGCACAAATAAGTTTGTGATCCGAATAGCCTACCCAGTGGAACGTGGGACAATCTAACAAGTCGGCTCCTCTAACTAACGTTCTGTCCAGGTAGCTAACCACCCGGTCACAAGGCCAATTAAGAGCCTACGTCCACATCCCCCCCGGGGTGATCGACCCGGTATCTATCAACGAGACCAAAATCGTTGATCAGATCAACGAAGCTACGATCACCATTCCTCCCACTAGCTCCCCGCCACCTGTCTAACTTGGGGTCCAGGATGGCATTCCAGTCCCCCATTAGCACTAAGCGCGTTGAATCCACCAGTAACGACTCCAACCGCCAAAAAAACGAGACTCGCTCATCATGGTCGTTGGGCGCATAAACCGCTACGACTCGGAATGAACCACTTTTCACGGCAATATCGGCCACGATCAACTGGCCCTCTTTGCATCAAGAGTACGTCTAACCAGCAAAGAAACTCCTCTGGCCTGTCATTCGCCATATGCTGAATAAACTACAAAGTCGTTCTCCAGCACACACGCATCGACGTTGCAAAGTGAGTCTCTTGGATGGCGGCGACATCCACGCCGAAAGACAAGAGATCCCGGAGCAGGTGGGCCGCCTTACTCCGATTCCTCAAGCCTTTCACATTCAGACTGGCTAGGCCTGCAAAAAATAAGAGTAAGAAAAGCAAAAGCCTACTCACATACGGGCCGGAAATCTGCGTTAGTAAGAATCCCGACGGATTGTCCTAGGCTGCCTACACATAGCTCTGACGTCATTCCTCCTTCCAGGACAATACCGCTGACACCCGTGGGGATAGGATAGTTTCAGACACCTATATAAGTGGTGGGGAGGGGAAGCGGTTGACAAATGAGGGGGTGTTGATAGGGACGGAGCACGGGCAGGAGAAGAAGGGAGGCTCCTAGTTTTGGGTGCTTCAACTGTTTCTTTCAAGGAAGCAGGGACGGAAAGGGACCCGATTTTGTCCATGCCCCTCTCCGCCCTACTACACCGAAGTCCTTTTGTGATGTTGTGTCTACTCCTCTTCCTCCGCGCTACTTCCTTTTCGAGCTTTTTCTTATTTTCATCCTTTTTATTTTCGTTTTTCGCCTGCTGCTTTGGTGGTGGTTGAGGTTTCTCTGTAGTCTCCTTTTGGGGGGGAGACGGTGCGTTTTTCGCCTTCATACTACTTCCCACCTCCTTCCAGGCGCCATCAGGGTCTTTGTCCGCTATCACGGTCATTGCAACTACTGCTGCTTCTGTTGTAGGTGTGGACCGAGTTGCAGGCTGAGGACGTTTCCCGGGGAAATCCTTTGCCATGTGTCCCAAGACATCACACGACCAACAATTCGGTTTCCTGCCCTCTACTACGACCCACGTCTTCCTCTCTCTGCACAACAAAATATTGCGTATTTGCCGAAAATTTGTTCGAGTCAATGTGACTTGCAGTTCGACATCTCCTGTCGCAATGCCTGACTTGCCTAATAGAGCTTTCACCTCTTCCACTTTACCGAATTTTGAGAAGGAGGTCCCCATTCGGTCTTCCGAAATATTCACGGGCACACTGTGAACTATTATCTTTGTCCTACGGATGCCCATGTACTCTGTTTGCAATCTCAGGTTTCTTGCGGTGAGCACACTTCCTGATAGCTGCTTAGCTTCCTGCTGCGTGGGAAGGAGAATGTCCCATATGGCATTCGTTCGTCTTGCCAGCACTTTAGGATTGATTTTTAAGGTCTAAGACCATTTCCATCGTTTCCCTGCTGACTCCAATTAATTTACGTCTTTTGACATCAGAAGTTAGCAGGGATACTATTCTGGTAGTCACGGCCTCCAAATCCCCAGGGATGGTGAGGAATTCATTTTCCTTAAAGGAATCCTCAAACGTTTTTCTCTGCTCCGCATAATATTCTGCATCTTTTTTCCTCGGCCTATTTTCCGACCAGGCCATTTTTACTGAAGACGCCGGCGGTGTAGTGTCTGCATTGTTCTCGCTCATAGTGGCCCGAAACGACCACCACGACCGAATATTAACCGGTTGATTCTTTTCTTTTTAAATTATTTTAAATTAATTTGACTGCCAAAAACAAAAAAAAATGTCAACAACAAACAAAATAAAACGAAAGAAGAAACGTGGACAACCAAAGACAATAAACAATTCAAACAAAAAAAAAAAATACAAAAAGGTAATGAAAACAAAAATCGGGGGGAGGGTAAAAAAACAAGAAATGAAATAAACAAAAAGGAAAAGAACAAAAATGCACAAATATATATGAACAAATAAACTGAAAAATTCAAAAGTTTTTACTTTTTAGAAAATAAAATCAAAAACTTAACAGTTCGTACGTAAATTTCACCAACGCTCATCAAAACACACTCAGAAACCACAAAACCAACAAGTGAGGGCTCCTTGTAAAGGCAGGTCAGCTAATCTACCTACTTTATAGGAGAGTAGTTAATACAGCAGGTGGGTTATTCCACATTACTAGAATGGACCTGCCCAATACATTTGCATTCACCCATATATATCTCTATTAAATCACTCTGTACTGTTCTCCGACTTGAAGTGACTATACCATCTATCTGAGTGTCAGACCACTTGCATGTTAATCAATATTCTACAGTGAGAAGCTATAAGGTGTATCATTCCATCATTAAAGAGTGACTTATCCTCATTGGGTACAAGTTTACAATTATTAGGATCAGATACAAAGAGGCATATGTTGATATAGCCAGAATTAGTAATTCCTGTGGGCTATAGTGGCTAAACGGGTAAGAGTGAACTAAGAAGATTGTAGTTTCACTTGGTATTTCAGCAATGAGAATGCAGACTTGAGGGAGCTATAACTGAATAAGAACTAGAAAAGATATCTCTAGACATTGTCAGTATGTTACACTGTAAGAATGCTAATTATTTGAAGAGAGAAAAAGGCTTAAATTAAATCAAAAATGAACACAATAGCAAAGAAAGTAGTAGATAGATTGAAGGACATACTAAAAATAAAAGAAAAAATACATTTTTTTTAATTTCATTTTATGGATAAAGGGCCTCACTAGAAGATAATGAAATCCACTTGGGCATCTGGTTAAAGTGAGGCCCAAGGGATGATGTGGGGAGAGTGCAGTGACATCCATGAATTGACCAATGCTGGCATTTCTGGATGAAGACCACCAAGCAGATAATAATTTTATGGTTATAAGTAGAAGAGAATAAGGAAATGATTCTATGTAATTTATTGTTAGGGATGAAGGTGGTGTGTATCACTAAAGAAATAAGATCTTCTTGGATACAATGCAGAACTGGAATGACAAAGAATTTGGTCAAACAGTTTGGTCAAGCTTCCCCCACCCCCAAAACAAGGAAAGAATTATAATTATCCAAGATGAGAAATGTGGAAAATATCAAAAACAAGGTAGTTGTTCACAGTTGTTGGGCAGTTGAATTTTAATTAATGAATGTGTGTTAAGTATGCCACCCTTTGAAAGACTGCAATTGGTGAATAAGTGAGAGTGAGGGAAAACAGACTATGTCCATTGAAGAATGTTGGTATAGGGTACAAACAAGAGAAGGAGGGAGTAGTGGTAGTAGGTCAACATCTTACTACCACTACTCTCTATAGGAAGGGTTTCCCAAATTTTGATATGCAAATTGCTTCCAAGGACACTGTCAGCAGAGAGTTCTAATTGGATATTTAGAAAAATCCTGGAATCCTAGATTGTGTCAGACCCCACCCCAATGTTAGGTGAGAGTTTATAAAAGTGTTAGATTGGAGGGGAATTGAGAGTAGCAGCTGAGGCAGAGACACGCTTCCATTACACCAAGAGAAGATGATCACTTCACCGATCCCCATGTGACTTGCTGCCATAGAGAACTCTCAACTCATGCCTTGTTCCAGACTACTAGCTAAATTGAACAGAGTGCCCTAATGAAATTGCAAAGTGGAAGAATTGAATAATGACAGCAAGAGAGAGAAAAAGAGAGGGAGACAAGTGCTTCGTCAGCATCCTGTAATTTACTGCCTGAAGAAGTCTCTGACTTAAAGCTTGAAACCCTGATTCCAACTTGGAAACAAAGAACAAAGTATCTCAAAATTAGACTAAGAGGGAATGGTCATTAGCCCTCATTCTTGTAGATTCTTATACAAAAAAAAATGTGTTCCTGTATAAACTTCAGTTATATAAACACAACTTTCTTTTTTCTATCTTATAACATCATTCTGCCTGAACGACACCTATCCAGCAATATCTGGTGATGATTCGATCTTTGCCTGCCTTGTGATCAAAACAAACACAACATGGCACAGAGAGAGGCTTGGATTGAAGTGATCAACTGCACAGTTAGCTGCAGGATTCAATCACAGATACACTGGTGACTGAGGACAACACAGTATTGTCATGTAGAACAGGGACGAGGATGTCATGCAGTGTTTTAAGTGGAACATGAATAATCTACCCCAATATATTAAATAATGGGTTTAGTTTGAAATTCCCTGAATGATACCTAGATTGACAAACACTTGAGGGAGTCTGGACTGATAATAACAACAAAGATCAGGATAATAGGCAGCATATAAAATGTAAATAAAGAAAACTCCTCATTGCAAAAATTCAAACAGAAATTGTAACTTTTTACATACAAGTTTCTTTTCATTATATATAACAACAACTGCTTAAAGCATTCATATTATTAAAATAAATGTCTTAAAATGTTACTTTTCAAACTGACAGAAAACCGACATCTGGCACCACTTCCTGAATTCGTTACAGGTGAGCATAGAACATTGTGATGTCCAATGGTCATTTTGTTCCCATTGACATGTGTGCACTCATGGGGCACAGAGACATTCTCTTTGTTGACAAAAACTGGGTCAGTCCATGAGACAGAAACTTCATAGTTCTCCACATCTATTTTGGAGATGTTCTCTGGACAGAACAGCACTCGCACTATATCCTCTGAAAAATAAAACGTATACAATAATTGTAAGACCTCTTATTCATCATGTCACTCCACAAGGATATATCATTGGGCCTATTTTATAGCCTTTCTTGATATTACTATTTATCTGAATAAGCAAACTATATCTACCGAAAATCATTTTATGATGTGTAAGAAAAGAAAAGCAAAAGAAATTTTACATGGTGTATAAGAAAAGTAGGATAAAAGTGTGAAAACCAGAGAGCTGGTTATGAAAAAATGATCTCATAGTTATTCTACTTTTTATAATTGACTAGCGTTGCCCGGGGATGTAACAGTAAGAGATAGATCAAGTATCGACCATCATAAAGACTGAAAAATAAAATTGACAAAGATTATTGTTTAAGGTTGACGGACACGCATGTCTTAATTAGTTTTTTTGTTTGTTTTTTTTACGAATTGGACAAACCCAAATTCAAACAAAAACATTGTTTACAATTGTTATGAGTCTATCGATTGGTGAATAGAATTTTATTATAAACAATTGTCTTGTAAATGGAATTTTTAAAGCATTCTGAATGTAAAAATAAAGAAAAAAATGTGCACGACAATAAGAAACACTACCTGCCAAAAAAAAGTGAAGTTTTTTTTTAAATCGGTTGAAAAATGTAGGTAGCCTTTCTCTGTAATCTTTTACAATTTATGATTTTTACTTATTGAATACAGTAAAAAAAATTGCATATTTTGCTTGTGGTGATTCATAATTAGAATTCTGATTTGAATATATTTTCCACTCATTGTTTCTAATACAAAAACTTTTAACTTTATTTGGGTTTATTAATTTATTACAAGTACTGTGTTCTTTCCTTAATAATTATCATCTTCGAAATATTGTTGTTTTTTGTCTATCAGATTTCTTACGTCGGCATTTTTAAATTATTTCTTAATACTTTCTTTTAAATATTGAATTAATTTCAAATAGAACCAATGCCTTATTGATCTGCCTTGTAACAAATTGCAAAGGGAATTGTAAAGACGGCCCCAAAGTACGTGGAATTATCTTTCCCTAAAGATAAGTAATTATCCGATTTTTCGATTCGTACAATCAGTAGAGATAGTTAGATTATTGTTTAGGTTGACGGACACGCATGTCTTAGTTTTTTGTTTTTTTTTTACGAATTGGTCAAATCCAAACTCAAACAAAAACATTGTTTTCAATCGTTATGATGAGTCCCCCGATTGAATAGAATTAGAATTTTATTATAAACAATTGTCTTGTAAATGGAATTTTTAAAGCATTCTGAATGTATAAATAAAAAAAAAATAGTGCAAGACAATAAGAAAAAGTGGATGTTTGTTTTATCGGCTGAAAAATGTAAGAAATCCGATCTCATATATAAAGGAACACACACACACAAACAACCTGGGTTTTTTAACCTAAGTCACTCCACGGAATCGCTAAAACATAGAGCATAGTCTGATGAAAAAGACGCCAAAGTTTATGAAAACAAAATTTTATCGTCAAAATGCTTATGTTTTTTATGAAGAGGATAGACTAAATTTTTTTAAATTATTTTTAAAATTTTTCCATCTTTTAGAATATTCTAAATTTTGATTTAAAAAACCTTGTTTCTCTTTGTCGCAACAAGAGGTAGTAAATAACATAGATAATTTTTAGCGCGTTTTTTTTTTGTATTTACACACATTAATTTGGAAAATCTTGCAAAAATAAAAATAAGAGTCAGATGTTAATGAAACTTTCAGAAACTATTCACAGATGATCGAAATTATTATAAATATGTTTTTTTTATTAAAGTCATGGCAGAAATATTTTTTTTATATTTTATATTTATTAACACCCCCATAACTAATTTTATGAAAAACTCTAGAAATTCGAGACCATCGGTTTTAGTGATTACAATAGTTAAAAAGCACAAGGCTTTGAAGAATGCAAATCATGTTTTTTTTTTTTTTTTTTTTTTTTTTTTTTTGTACCTGAAAAATCAGCTGTGAATTGTAACATACAAAACTCAATAAAACAAATATATTATTTAGTTTCAAATGCTTTTATTTGTTTTAATTTGTTTTTATGAATATGGACAATATTTTCTGAAAGCAAAAAATTTTTTCAATGAAAATTGAATTTTTAATACAATTATTTCTTATTTCTTTAATTTTAAAAAGATTTTAAAAAATTTTTAAATTGAATTTTTAAAAATATTTTAACATTAGTTAAAAGCAACATCAACCTTTCAAAATGTCCGTGTGAGATTGTCATTGTCTAGCGCTTTGAAAATTGTATAATTTGGACCAATCAGATTAGCCATGGTAATTAAGAAATGTAATTTTTGTGTTTATAGTCGGACAGTAATTATCAAGTACGGAAGACCAACCAGAATACAATTTAGTTGCATTATTTGAGTTCAGCATTGTTCTCCGCTGTTAAGCCCTTTACTTTTATGCGAAACACGTATGGAGAAGTTAATTTGAGTTTTCAATTTCAACTGAGAAGTGTACCTACAAGTAACAGTATCATCTTATGAAATTTAACTACTGCTAAACTTTAATTTATATGATCTTATTTTTATATTAATCTCAGTTATGACATTTTTCCATAAATGAAATATCAAAATTAATAATAAAATGAATGGAAATACAAATAACACAGTAAAATGTAATAAATGTACATAAAATTATAGTATTTTATGTACATTCTGATGAAATTTCATAAGAAAAGGTACCTAAATTAATTAGATACCTTTTTCTTATGAAATTTAATCTCACTATTAACAGTCTTATTTTTTAATTTCTTTATATTTTCCATAAAGCATCGTAAACGTAAAAAATGAAAGCTAAGTACAAAAAAAAAAAAAAAAAAAAATTAGAGCGCTGAAAGTTTTCCTTAAAAAGTAACGAGGTAAATAATTTGTTCACTTAAATAATTTCACTTCCTTCCATCCGTAGAAAGAATTATCCTCCCGTAAGTTATCTAAACGTCATGAATGTGCCTTTCGTCAATCGTCAAGCGACGCGAAAGGTTATGACCTGCTTTGTTTTTTTTTTTCAAATTACATTTTTTCGCGCAGAAGCTAAGTTAAGCTTGGTTCAAAATATTTTAAATAAACAGTATAATTTCTGTTTTTTCTTAAAATCAGTTTTGAAAAAATGATAATTGATTTTTAAAAGAATATCAAAGTAAGATTTTAATTTTTTTTTTTTATCAAATCGAAAAAAATGATTGAAAATGATTGATTATTATCTGTCCTTTTTTTTGACCAAAAAAAAAACAATATTTTTAACGAAAATTTCAGACGTGCTAGGAACGATTAAAAATGTAAAAAAAAAATACCCCAAAAATACTTTGATCTTTCCTCTTTAATAATAATATGAACATTAGACGATAAAATTTTGTTTTCGTCAAGTTTCGGCTATTTTTTCATCATGCTATGCTCTTTTGTTTACATTTTCGTGGGTGAGTTGTCCCCCTTTCATTCTCACTATGTGTCTTAATCGTGTTTTCAAATTGATTTTGGTAAAAAAACAATTATGTTTTTCCCATTTTCGGCGCCGTTAGAACCACCACAAGGTAATTTTATGTAGTCCTGTGAAGTTTTGTTGAAATCGGCTAAAAAATGTAGGAAATTCGATCCAATATATAAACGTTACAGACACACACACACACACAATCTGCATTTTATAATAAGTAAGATTTCATTTAATTATATATGAACAGACAGCAAAACAGGTGTCCAAATCAATAATTAAATATAGTGTATTTTCTGGCATCAAAGTTGCTTTTTTTCTGAGTAATCTAAAAAATTTACCCTTTATCCTACAGATTAAAGTTGCTTAACTTTTTAAAAATTCTTACAGGTCAGAATTGAAGCATGAAAGCCAAGAAATATGGTAATAAAATCTGATAGAGTTAATATACTTCACTTAATGACTTAACTATTTAACAAATGCTATCCCCCACCCCGACTTAAGCCCAGCTATAATATCTCATAAAATAAGAAATAAAAAAATCCAATTAGTCAGTACTATACTTTAAAAGGAATAAAAATAAATAAAATGAATAAATATAATAAAAAACGAATAAAAATTTACTTGTTCTGTATTTACTTGTTCTGTATTTACTTGTTCTGTATTTACGGTATGTAAAGATATAGAGAATATAGAGCTGATATTTTAATTTGTTTATTATGTTTACTGTTCAATACACTAATGAACAGTATAAACATTTAGAAATGTTACAAATCACTTTAATGTTGGTACCTCCAAAAAGGTATTTCAAAAATGAAAAATATTTCTTGTAGATTTTATTTTAGTTTTAATACCAAGCTAGTAGGTTAAATTTAATATTTCTAATAAGCAAAATATATTGCTGTATTTCAAAATGAAAATTTAAATTGATTGGAACAAGATATTTTTAAATTGCTAAAATCTGTGAATACAACCTAATTCTCTTTATTAAAAAATCTTTCAAAAATAAAACATACCTTTCTGAAATTTAATTTGAGGAAGATTAACTAACATAAAGTTTGATTTATCTGAATTAAAACAAATATGACTTTTAGTTTAAAATATCACAGAAAAGTATTTTTTTAAGATGGGCATTTTTATGAGGTGTTGATAGATTTATCAATAAAAGTTTAAGGTATGATAATGTTTTATAGTTAAGTGCCAAAATAAAAGCAAATACACTGTAGTTACTGAAATTTTATCTTTTACTTTAAAAAAATACAAAAATATCTCATTTTAAGGTGTTTTTTAAAGAAATACAAAGTGGCCCCAAAGAAATACAAAGTGGCCCCAAATTTCTTGCCTATAATGTATTTTGACTTTAAAGTCTTACTTTCAAAGATGCTCACTAAGGAAATGTTAGAAAATTACCAATAAATTTTAAATTTACTATAGTTACTGCTTTTATTTTCTCATTATGTTGTATACAAATGTCTATTATAAATTTATAAAAATTCACACATTTAGGCACACAGAAAAAAAAATGTTTTTTAAATACTGGGAGTCATTGAATTGTCGTAAGCTACTGCATTTATGATTAGTGAATATAGTTTTAACTTAACAATATTACCTAACCACTGCAAATTAATACAGAATTTGAAAAGATTTAAACCTCTATAAATTATTATAATTAAAATTTTAAAAAAATTAATAATTGAAAATATTTTTTCTTAAGACAACAGTGTCCATAATATATCTTATTCATAAAAGCAATTAAAATATTTTCTAATTAAATAATATCTTAGTTTTATTGCATTTTATATTTTACAATTCTGAACAAATTTTCTGTAACTGAGGTCCTGTTTGACCAAAAAAAATTTGATGATTAAAATTCTCCATGAACTTTTCCTTATAACTAATATAAGCACTAAACTTACAAACATGAATTTCTTGAGATTTCATAAGATTAAATAAGTAAGGAGTAAAACCATTCACTTCCAATAACATATATCAAGCAGGAGAGAAAAATCAAGCCAAGAGTAAAATTCCAAGTCCTTAATAAAACTGCAGATATCTAACACACATTATTAATTATTGTAGTTACTAAGAGAACATTTTGAGTATTTAATGGTAATATTAGCCATTTCCTTATAAAAAAAAAAACATTCAGCATTCATTGACTGCTCCACTCCATACAGTTCAAAGAAGGATAGTCCTTTCTAAGATCTACAGGATTCATTTATTGTAAGCCATTTTTAATCATTGATATGAGAAAATAACTCTATACAGTTGATAGTTTAGTCATTTCTGAAGGGATTGAGTACTATTCAGGATATCTGCATGAAAATCCAGATCTGATAAGGTTATTAAAAATATGACTCAAGCTCTTATGTTAATCTTTAGGTTTTGTCACAAATATGAATAATTATTGCAGTATATTTATTTTAAAATATTATGTAATATTAATGAAAATAAATGAAAAAATAGCAATATGGATTAAATAAAATAAATAGAAAAAAGCCAAAACTTAAGTTTCATAACATGAACAATACTTTGATAATCATCACTTCTTTTTCCTTTGTTAAGATAAAGCAGCAGCACCAATTGTTGACTGATTCAATTCTTCTTCTAAATTCAACTTCTTACTCTTTCTCACTAGAATATAGAGGGAGTATGTTTTACAGTATAATATGTAACCGGAAATGACTCAGCAAAAGCATTTGTTGGAAATAAATATTTTTTTTTTTACCAAGACACTTATTTAATGGAATCTCTGATAAAATCAATTAAATGTTTGTTATTCTTCACTTTCGATGTATGTCTTTTGTAATTTTATTGTTGTATATTTTAATGAGAACAAGAATAACATTACATTTTATTCAACACTGGTCTTTGTCATTTAACCAATGGGTGTGTAGCATTGGTGTTTTCAACCAAATGTGAATTCAACATCCTTACCAGGCTATAAGAGATTCTTTCCTTCTATCCTCTTGAGTGAGCACTTATATATCTATATGTCATACAGTTTTTCTCATGAATACACATCCTAGATGCAACTGAGTCAACCATATGTTTTATGTCTGGGTTAAGCAATGAAAAGAGGATTTGTGCCTCGTGGCAAGAAGGTGATATTTCAGGTCAACCTATTGAAGCACCTGGCTTCTCTCTAATAACACTGAATGCAAAATTCATTTTGGCAACACCTGTTCTACATTTTTAGTCTATAGAACAGTTTTTTTTATTGTTTTACAGTAGAATATTTGTTATAGTACCTTTTATGTATTTTCTTTTCCTTTCAATTTTTGAACCTGCTGTCTACAATGCAGTGTTTTCAAAGTGGAGTAAAAAAAAGTATTTATTATGATTGATGATGTTTATGCTGAAACTGAGAACAGTATGGAAGTTGGGGATAAAATTATACATGGATAGAATAACTAAAGTTCTGAGAGAAAGTAGATCTTACCAAGAACTTTGATCTTTTGAATGCAGGAAGCATTGTTATGTGCCCTGTCTTTAACAACATACTCCACTTGGTGGAATCCAATTTTCAATTGTGCTGGACTTTTGTTTAGACCATAATATGTCAACTTAGCATAATTAGAATTGTCACTAAAACTTGGCTTCTCATTTTGCCAATGGACCGTCGCATATCCCTCTGCACCAACAGATACTTCCATATCAGCAGGACATCGCAGTGATGGTGGTTCAACATCTGCAATTAAATTTAAACAAATATATTAATCTAGGGATTTGTTGACAGTTTATTTGTTATCTTTCACAGAATAAGTAAGTAATAAGTAATGGCAAAAATGTTAATAATAAAATAATACCAGAAAAAGGTTCAATGAGATGATAAAATCTTACTGAACATTTTTTTGGCATTACTTATTGGTTTACAGAATAAAACATTAACAGCAATATAATGAATATGCCTATTCAAATTAGACTCATCTTAAGATATGTAAAATATTTTGTTCTGATAATCAATTGGTTAACCCTTTAGATCTCAGTGGGGTATAGGGGGCCACAGCCCCACCATGTTAGGTAGTGCTCCTTTGATTTCCGTAGCATATAGCTTTTACAGAGTAAGGGGGTGCTAGTTCCAAATATGAGTAGTTTGAATTCAGAGTTGTTTCTAGATTGTTTGCTAGCTAGAGAATCCCATTTGCTCTGCTATTTAATCCCTAGCTAGGAGAAGAGGTGAATCTACACCTTTTCCAAGGGTATTTGTGAGGAAGTAAACACAATGACCTTGACCAGAGTTTGAGCACAACTTGATGATCCATGTTGATAACTGCTATGCCATAAGCTCATCAACAGTTTGGAAACTGACTGGCCAAAATTAATTTACTTTAGTGACATGACAATAATTATGAAAAAACAGTATGAAATTGCATTTTTAGAATTGTTAGTTTGCATCACATCAGGTTACTCTACGTGTACTACTGGTACTATGTAACCCAGTAATACCTGCCGCAGAGTCAGGTTATCAGCAACTAAACCAGTTCCTACACTAGGATTTTCTTTTCAGGTTCTGTTAAAGGTTGGATAAACCTTCTTGTAGGGTCAATGGCCGTCTTACACTGAAGGTAGACTGAATGCCATAGTTATGTGTACGGCTAGTGTAGTGATGACATGGCATCACAGGGTGGAGGGCTTCCTAGACTGTATTCAAAAGCCAAGGTGGAGGGTTCCCCCAATGGAATAAATGGCCAGGTATCCATAATGAAAATAAGTTTTCAATTTGGTGGATGTCAGCTATGATTTGACTTAGAGAAGGATAGGCTCACCAGGATTGCTGCACATGAATGATACCTCTCCAGCTTTCAAACAAGATATGAGGTGGAAACTAGTCAGGTTCTTTGTGGTACATTGACCCCTACACCCACACCTGTTCATGGGACTGATGATGGTGAGTACATATGAACTAAAATTTTGTGGATATTTTAATTATATTTCTTAAAAGATTATTTTTTTCATGAATATACATTTTTTTCATTAAAATCACAGAAAGAGCCAAATAAAATTTACCTTTTAAAGCAATAATGTCATATTTGCTTTTATAATATTAAGTTATAAAATATATAACTAATCCAGAATTTTGAAAACCATTGTTACAAGCAATTTGCCACAAAAGTGAAAAACAGGTAAGACTTACCCACACATCTTGAATCCTCAGAAGTATTCCACTGACCATGGTTCCCGCAAATCTTTTGTGAAGGGCCAATCAAACGATAACCTGGTTTGCATTTGTAACGACATATTTTTCCTGGGTTAAGTGTTGTTTCAGTGCACTTCGGAGGTGAAATTTCCCCACCTTTAATTTTTGGGAGAGGTTTGCATTTTGCCTCTGGAAAAAATAAAACAAAAGCATTTTGTACTGCAGATTCAAAAGAATTCAGTCATCTTTCTTTTTTCATGTGCTGTGTCAGTTTGTCATATGAGTATCAAGTTCTCCAAGCCATTATGTGTCCTAAAATTTTCAAATGTCTCTGATTCTAAGTAAAGTATCTATTTTACTCAACACTATAAGGAAAAGACATTTTATCAATCAACAACAGTGTTTTCGAAACCAGAAGAAAATAGCATTATAAGCATCAATGGAGAAAAATATTTTATGACAGATTGAGAAGCATTTTAAAAAACTATGACATGCAAAAGTCATGTATTTTATTCACATTATAAAATTTAGTTACATATTTTTCTTTTGTTGTGAATTACAAAATATTGTTTTGAAAGGTTATAAGGATTATTTGATTTATTGTGATAAAAAACAATAAGAAAACTAGTAAAAAATTTATGCTAATATTTCCTCTACTAAATAACATACCTAGGTAGTATATTAGAATATATGCAAGTTTTGATACATGCAAATCTCATCTTGGTCTATAAAGCATTTCTATAGTTTTTTCTAATTTAAAATTTAATAAATAGTATCTTATCAAACCATATATTTTACAGAAGTAAAAAGAATGTCAAAAGAGGGAAATATATCACAAATGTTTTTTCTTTATAAAAATATTACAAAAAAAAACTATTAATCAGGTATATGAAAATATTTTAAACAAGTATGTCTGTAGCTATGAGTGGCTAGATTTTTTGACAGCAAAATTATTGGATGAGCTGAAATTTAGTACACACATGCATTCTGAACCCCAGGAATGTCATAAGCATGCTGGGATAATGTTAAATTCTTGTGAAAAGTAAACCATTTTAACATCACAAATAAATGGTTATCACTAACATAAAAATATGAGTTACTTGATCTTTTTTATTTGTCATAACCACTGTTCATTTCATGATTAGATTTACTGTATTGTAATGCAAAAAAACATTTTGCTGTATTGTAATGCAAAAAATAAAAACAGATCAAATTTTTCAAAGTATATTTGTAAAACATTTAGACCAAAAATCAAGTATTGGTTTGGCCAAAAATTTTGTTCGTTTTATAAGTAAATTTTCTACTTAATAAAGCGAACAGACTTTTTGGTCAACTCAGTATTTTTCAAATTATTTCTAAATTTACATTTTTTCCACACCATCTAAAAGTGTGCATATATATGAAGATTATGTACAAGTATGAAACAGACTGTGACTGTTGACCCCAGTGTCCATTTTTAATATATACATACAACCTATCCATGATATTGAGTTCAGCTGTTTTAATATTTACATACAACCTATCCACGAGATTGAGTTCACCCATAGATATAGCATACCTTAAAACTATATATATATATATATATATATATTGTTACGTTAACCCCATATTTGTACCCTCACCTCAGATTTTATAAGTATATTTTCAGTACCTTTTGTATTTGCGACGAAACATATGAATCTTAATAACTTCTTTATTTCTTGAATATACAGATTGTGAGATATATATTGTTTTTATAACCAGATGAGTCAGGGCCAGTTCTCAGAAAAGAACCTTCCCTTCTACCCCTATTTCTTACCTGTTCCCTGATGCGTAGGCCAATCAAACGCTGTTTGACAGGTGTGAATGATGTTAGCCAGTTCCATAGTCGCTGGCCAAAAACGAACGCTGTTTGACAGATAAGTGTGGATGACATTAACAGGGTCCGTGAATGACGCATACCTTGGGGGGGGGGCAACACCATGACTCAACATATAGCAGTTTTCGTTTCGCACGTGTTGAGGTAATAACAACCACACATAGTTACTGGCTGTCGGAGGAGTCGGACGTCACCAAAAACCAGTCTTAGCTATTTGCCATTAGAAGAAGCAGTTGTCACCAGAACCAGACTTCGTTGTTTGATGCCAGAAGAATTAGATGCCACCAAAAACCAAAGGACCGACGCGAGAATCTAGATCAACATCGTCAACCCAAGTCAACTCCCGTGATTTTTCTTTGTGTTCTCGTCGCCAGTCAAAAATTCATGTTAGAACATTGACAATCCCACCCTTTGCTTTCAGAGAAGTGTATGAATATCCTTTGAACAAACTGTACCCCGATAATAGTCAATCGACGTCGATTCCAACCTTATGTAAGTTTCTGCATGTTTTTCCATATCTTATAATCTGCTATCTCCGTATTCATATGTATTTCGCCGCATTAGTATCTGTTTAATTGGTAACTTATCTCCCCATCCCTTGTATTATTTAGTTTTCTTTTCTTTTTCTTACATTCACACTCCGTGTATTCTATCAACAAAATCTTTGTATTATTATATATTCTCGTGTTGTCTTCTGTTGTTCTGTGTCTGCGAATTGTTCATTTTCTCTCTGTGTTTACCGACGTCCGGAATTGGAGAATTCCCCTCCCAACGTTCTTTTCTTTATTTTTATATCGAACCTTGGGATCTCTTACTTATTTTTTTTTTTTTCTCGTTGCGTCCCGGCTATCTTAGTCCCAATGAAACCCTGGGCATAACAGAATATATATATATATATATATATATATATATATATATATATATATATATATATATAAAAAAAGTTAAAGTAAATGACTATTACAGATATAGTAAGACATAAATATTTTTTTATATGTTTAAAATACAAAATGCACTTTTTTCAACAAAATGTTAAATAACTTTAATTGTACATAATTTGTTGGATAAGTTTAGGTATCGTTGTAAGTAATGCCAAATATTTAGCAATGAAACTTGAGCAAAGAAAGTGATGTCTGTTGTGACCAAAAGATATCTTTCTTATATCTAGCAATGTAAGCAACAAAAATTCATCATACAATTTATGCTCAGGTTCTTATTTCCATTTTTGTTGAAGGCTTGGACATTTGGCACAGAGTGAAATACTGCACTCCATATTAGAAGTGGTCAGACGATTTGAAACAAAGAATTTTATAAGTTTTTCAATCTAAATAAACTGAAATAATGACACTGCCTCTTGTTCGACACCCCTCCAGTCCCCAAAATCCCAAATGAAGCAAAAGCTCCCACTCATAATCCAAGGGATGTGTTTTTTTCCAAATACACATAATGACTAGAAGACAACAGGACATTGCATTAGTAGCTGTTAGTATTATATTTATTGTACATATCAAATTCAGTTAATTCCAAAGTTGTAGAAACAAAGAACTTATAAATATAGAACTTTAGATTTTTGCTCAACAGCTAAACATGTGACTTATGAATTGGAGACACCTAAATCAAGCAAGTACAAAAATTGAAATATCTGGGAAGTGTTTTAACAGCTGACAGAAACTGTGACACCTAAAACTGAAGGCAACAACAAAGAATGCATTTAAAAAAATTGAGCAAAGTCTCATTAGAAACAAAGACAAGAGTACTAAACTGTTATGTAATATTGGCAGTGAATTCTGGACAATTTCCTCAATGATGAAGAAGAGACTTGAAGCAACAGAAATGTGGTTCTACAAGAGGATGCTGAGAATATCATAGACTGAACATGAGAACAATGATGAAGTTTTAGAGAAAATGGAAAAAAATAGGACATTAAAATTTCTAGGGCACATGAGGAAAGTGGTCTTAGAAAATTTGGCACTCACAGGATATATTGAAGGCAAAAGGAACAAAGGGGAAAACACTGCATAAACTACATTATGAGCTTATGTAAATGGTTGGCAGAATAGGATTTAAGAGAGATAGCAAAAAGACAAAATTTACTAAAAGCTGAAATGATAGAGCACACAGAAGTAGTAGTATTTCATTATTTTCAAAAATATCTGGCATAAATTTTGTTAATGTAAAAAAAATTCCAACTTGATTGAATTATTTAAAGACATGACAGAGACTTTATAGAAATTAACAAAATTATATGCATTAAATTAAGTGCTTTTAAGATACCATATATACTGACTTACCCACACACCAAGTCCTTGTGCCAGACCAGACACCATGCTGATTACATTTACGTAGAGTATCACCAAAGGGTTGCCAACCTGGCATGCAGCTTACTTTTACCATTGAGTCATATGTTGTTGTTTCATTGATGTATTCATCAAATCCATTGCTGACATTTTCTCCAACTTCAGACAGCTTTTTGCAATCGACAACTGTAAAACCATAAAAAATACATGTGTTTATTTAATAATAATAAATTCCTTTTACTATTACTTTTGTTTAGATAATAATTAATACTACTATTTTGAGAGAGTGATGATATTCACAATCATCTTACAATGATGGTCTTGAAAAATTCTTGGTTTGACCAAGAAAACATTAAAAAAAGATGTTTGGTTAATCATTTGGTCAGAATTTAAGAAGTGGTTTGAGCCATGAAATTTTTAGCACACTCCTCTAGTTTAAGGCAATTTCTTATTTTAAGTTTACTTGGTAAAGTAGTTTTCTTTTATGCATTTATATTCAACAGCTTCAATAAATATATATAGTTTGTTCAAGTAGTATCAATCTTTGATGTAACCTGAAAATCAGTTGGAGGTATTTTATTGCATGGGCATGAAAAGATACTCTTACATGAGTTTATTGACTGTGTAACTCTTATTCACAATGACATTTGGCAAAACATTATATCACCCAGGACTGTCATCTTCAATTCAGATTTGGCTCCCTGCAAATTTTGACTTTTCTTAATTGGCTTTTCATGTGCACAATTTCTTTAGTAAGTTTTCTCAAGTGTGCAGGCCAGTAAATAAATTAAACAATTGTCCATATTTCTGAGATGAGGTATTGTAACTATTTATACTATTTACATAGGACACATGGCCCAGTGGATAAAAGCATTGGTTGAAGTAATCCAGTGATGTAACCCAAAGAGTTGTGAGTTCAATACCTGGCCACAGTAGAAGTAAACAAAAATATGGAGAGTTGAGCTACTAAAGAGGAATAACTGAAACTGAGATATCCAGAAAAGGTATGCCATGTGGAGTTAGAACAAAATTTCCTCTAGTGGATGAAATCAAGGGTTTGGTTTGAAATTCCTTTTTTTTCTACATTGGAAACATTGTGAATATGACAACAGCCAAACAATGTAAATAGTATAAAGAATTAAACAATGTTTTAAAAAACAAAGCATTTTTTTAATGTCAATTGAAAGTGACATCTGAAATAAGAAACCTCCTCCTATCCAATTGAGAAAAGCTAGATGTTGTATGGAGCAAATATGAAATGGAATCAGTGGACCTGGGTAATGGGTTCATAAAAATGCTACATGAACAATAGGTAGTCAAGATATTCCAAACAATAAAATAAATTCTGGGCATTTCTGGAATCCACAGATCTTTTTCTACTGCTACCAGTATCAATCAACCAATTTCATTTGGTTTACAGCCTGTATTCTTACATCTTCAAGTATTCTACTTCTTGAAGGCTTTTCAGAATATGGACTACTTTCAACAGATTCTTGACTTAGTTTGAAGAACCATTAACATTTATTTTTTATCTGAGATTTACTCAGTGAATCAATCTTGAAAACCTTCCCAATCCTTTCAATAGTTTCTGTGGACAAACTTGATGCTTATTCACAAAGTTACTTGCTTAGACATTATGAATGTAGCACAGTACAAAAAGCTCACTTAGTAATGTTTCACTACCAACAAGTAAACCTGTGAAAGAGTTTCTGTTTACACATACATAGTAAGATCTCTTTTGATTAGATGCAAAGTTACATCAAGGCTGAACAATTGATTCCCAAGATATTCAAATGGTTAGATACTTTCTAGAGAAATATTCAAACTATTGATCTTGTCTTTGTTATTATAGGCAACTGACTATTTTCAGGCCTCCATTATTTTGGATGACAAATATATATTCACAATTTTCATACTTTCAAACTTTCAAAAGAATTATTTTGATCACATCTTACAAAACCACATAAGTAATCAACTAATTAAATGACTAAAATGAAAGTTATGCAAAGGGGTAATGTAAAATTGGGTTGATATCTTTACAACAAATCACAAGAAATGATGTACTTTTGCATTCTGGAACAACTCCCGACCATAATCCGTTGGTTTCACAGATCAGCACTGGATTACTGGTCAACCTGTAGCCAGGTTCACATTTATAATGGCAGGAATCTCCAGGGCTGTTTTTGCAAGGTACTCCAGTGTGGGAAATTTCATCTGTTATCCGTCCTTTGACATGGAAACTGAAACCATTAGCAATTTCAGGCAGTGAGCTGCATTGACGCACTAAAGTGAAGGAAAGAAAATAGAAAAAGATAAATTCTTAGAGGAAATGATTGATACTTTGCACACAATTAAATATGCTATGTTACAAAACAAAAAAAAAAACTTTCATTCTCTAATCTGAAGAATAAACATTGACTTGAAAACTGCTTTGATGTTTATTAACACCGTACACTCGTCTTAAAACTATGAATTGAAGAATTATTAGACATCTGAGTAGTTTAACAAAAATCATATTAGGAAATCTGAATAGCTTGCTGGTTATTTTGATTGATAAGTAAAGCCAATAAGACAATTTTGATCCAACTGTTGGGGGAAATTAAAACAATTTTGAGCAATTGTTCTTGAGAAAGGTAGGAACATTTCCCTCTGCTTCATTTCATATGTAATCATTTCAATTTAGTTTTTCTTCTGGTATACCAATGATGAGACTCTTACATTCAATGTGTGTGCATGCTTTTAAGACTATGAAGTTGATTAACATTAGAGAGAGAGAAAAAAAATGACTGCTTATGAACACATTAACTCTGGAATGAAATTGTGATACTTCATAAAGTGTTAGTATTCTAATTATGAGACATAGATTTGAATAGCACCATGATCATAAATAACCAGCCATTAAATTATATTTAATTAGTTTGCTGTTTTAATTGTATTTAGGATAAAGAGAGAACAGTGTATTACATTGATATGCCTTTTTTTGCACAGAAAAATCTTAGAAGTGTATTTATCATTTTATACAATCTTTATTGTAATGTATTCAAATACTTTAAGAATTGGTTGTGAGAATTTTACTTTATTTTGATGAAAATTATGATTGAATATAGAATGAATATTTGACATTAATTAGCCAGGTTGTAAATTCAGTGAAGTTTATGGTAATGATGCAGTAGGTGCAAGCATGTGTTGGGAATGGTTTGCAAAATGTAAAATTCAAAATTCTGAGATGAAGGACAACAAATCACTTAAAAAATGATGAAATGCAAAAACTTTTGAAGGAAGATGAAGTACAGATATATTTATATAAACTTATTAAAAAATTAGAGGTGAATTGAATGACATATTGGAATAGAAAATATCATTTTTCTGTGCAGCAATGTCAAATGTTGACTTTTCAGTAACAATTATAACTGTTATCATGTTTCAAATATGATACAATAAATTATCATAGAATTAGAATATGAAATGCTCTTACACAAATTTTGTTAGAAAATCATGTGTTTCTGGAATATGAAGGCAGGACCAGTGCAATGGTCCAGTGGGTTCACCCTGAATCTATGATATGTTCCCCCAACTGAATCTATGATATGGAGACCCCCACTCTATTACATCACAATTTTCATAAGGTAATATTCATATAAAATACAAATTTTATTGTAAACTAATTATGTTCAATAATGAATCATATACAATAAAGATGAATAATTCAACTAGAAAAATTGAAAATAAATACAATGTATTTAATTACAAATTAGAGACATGTCATAATAGTTTATTCCATCTTAAATAAGTCAACAATGTTTTGTGGCAATTTTTAACAAGTTGAAAAAATTTTTTTACACAAATTCACAGATTTGGACAAATAAGACCCCAGAATGATGTCAAATATTAAGCAGAAAGGAATTGGGAAAAGTGAGGGAGTGGAGAAAGAGTGTCTATTAAGGAAAGAAAGTGAAAAACTTTTGTGGATTTTCCACAAAGGTTTTTCATCCTTTAATAGTCAGTTGTGTTTAGGTTAATTTGTAATGTGCATAGAAAAAAAGCAAATGTTGATAACATAGTCAGGGTCACAAAGCATTGCCTGGGGCCCCCAATCAGCCTTATGCATACTACCCCAAACTCTTGGCGTGGTTTGGGGGTAGTATACATATTGTCAGAAAATCATGTGTTTCCAGGATAATGGGCTCTTCTATAAATATTAACAGAAAATCATGTGTTTCCAAGATCTGAGGGGCTCTTCTACAAATATTGTAAGAATATCATGTTTCATTCTGTGCACCTCTCATTGTTTGAACAATGTTTTCAAAATGTTCAAGATTTTGAGGAATTCATCAAATCAAACAGGACTATTCTTTGATAATGGAGGGTGATTTTTATGACATGTCAACACCTACTGGATATCAAAATCAGTCTTTTTATATTTGAGTTTACAAGCATTTACTAGGTTCAACTTTTATAAAATTTAATAAAATATACATTTTCATATTTCTCATCTAGAATGAAAAATGACTATTTTGGTCACAGTGCCTATTGTACAATTCCATCTTTTTACATCTCTAATATAAACATGTAATTTTCCCTATAAAATTTTAATCTGTGTCTGGGTTCATTACAAACTATATTTTAAATAATTGTATTTATTTTGATTTCTTTTTTCCATTAACAGAACAAAAATTAATGCTTATTAATTATTATTAATGTGATTCACAATATAAGACAGCATAAAAATTATGAAAATGTTAATGAATTCATTAACAAAGTATAAAGAAATTAACTGGATAAAATATTACAAAGATTTTAAATAATATATAATTTGGAACTTGGAATACTTACGTTGACATGGATCATTTGGAGACTCCCTATAATAAGGAACATGACATGAACAATCTCTTATATGCTCTGAACCAACATAATTTGTTGTTGAATTGGCTGGACAAGGTTTGCATCTTCCAGGACACAGTGATTCCTTGTAGAAACCTTTTTCACACACTATACAATAAAAAAATGAAACCCCACATGAAATTATTAAATCAAATAATCTATATGATTATTCTATTTCATACATATGACTGTTATTATGCTTTTCTACTGAGGATCAGAGTGTAGTATCTGCTATATCCCTGGCCCTTCTGAGCTGGAATCAGTTACACTTTAAACCTACTTAATATTATTAAATATTAAGCAGAAAGGAATTGGGAAAAGTGAGGGAGTGGAGAAAGAGTGTCTATTAAGGAAAGAAAGTGAAAAGTAAGAAAACTAGAAGAAAATAAAAAGAAAACCAGGTGAAAGGAAAAAAATAAATATACCAAGAGGAGTGAAGAGATAGAGATGAAAGACAAAAAAAAAAAAAACAACCCAGACTTGCTGGCTGAATATCCAGAGTCAATGAGCAAAAGATTGACATGTGGGTAGAGATAGAAAGGCATAAAAATTGAAATTAAAATTCTTTATAGACAGAGCAAAAGAATCGTAATAAAGAGGATATGGTAGAACATATTTGTGCATTTCTTATTTGCATATGAAACTAATCCATGTTTGTATAACTTTTATATTTAAAAAAACAAAAAACTAGAAGGGATGAGGAAGAGAATAAAAATATTTTTATTTTTAATCATTCCACCCCAAGCAAGGTAATAAAGCCATTAAGATGTAAAGGGTTTACATAGTGTGGATATATGAGAGAAAGGAAAAACACTATTAAGGAGAGAGAGAACAATAAAAGAACAGGAATTAAGAAAACATTGACATTGCATTTAAATTTTTGAAGATCAAAGTTGACTGGAAACCATGACACTAGAAGAGACTTCCCTAAACGAGAAATATGAGAGAAGACACAAGCAAAAGATAAGAGTATGAGATAGTGAATAATTTCAATTGTCTGCACATGTGGCATTATTATGAGTCTAAAACAAATACCAACATGCAAGATTTCAAACTGCACAATAATCTTCAATTATTTTGCTTTCTTAATAAAAATGAAACTTTTCTGGAGATTAACAATATTGTAAATTATTTTTTTTACTCTTTCATTTTAATTGCTGTTGCCTTTACTTATAACTACATAATAACTACTAACATTTTATCACCTTGAACCCTACTCCTCTGCCTAGAATCAACAAGATATGTTTTACTAATGTTCACCCAGTACATGGCCTGAGTGCCACTCAAGGTAGAGGGATACTGTGTAGAGTTGTATTAGTGCAAGAATGGTCAAGAAGTGAAGTAATGAAAAAATTTCAGAGTTCTGGGAGGGATGTTACAAGTATAGAGTTGAAGTAGACTTTAGAATGAACTGGAAATCCAATCCTAAACAGGAAACAAGGGATGAACCTCTATTCCTGATCAATAGACCAGGGAGGAGTGTTAACCAGATTATAGGCAAGTCTATCTCCTCCTATTGGGTAAGAAAAAAATAATTAAAAAATAAAATTTAAGAGTTCAGACAGAGACATAACAGTGTTGAAGGAACTGGAAACCCAATCCTAAACATGAAACAAAAGATTAACCTCTACTCCTGTTCAAAATCTAGGGATAAAAATATAGTTTTATGATATACTATATTTATGGGTTAAAGTATTCAATATCAGGGATATATATATATATATATATTATTAAGTTGTAAGAGTTTTGGGGTGCCAAATTGCTGGTTCTTTTTCCATAGTTTACTGCTGGGAAAGCATTTTAGGTAGGCAGTTTCTTTCATAAAGTGCTCAACATCAAAAAGTAAAGATAGAGCGTTAATAGAATTAATGTGGAAAAGTTTATCACTTAACTGAGCACACACACAGACACAAATTATACCAAACCATTCATAAAATAAGACAAAACTGAGAATTAGCAGCAGAGAAGACAACAGCCCTGAAGAGTGAAAACATTACTGCAATGTGCTCATGAAACTTCAAAGTCAGCATTACTGAACCAACACCACTCAGTTAAATGATGAGTTTCTCCACATATGTAAAATTATAGAATAAATGAGACATGTCCAGTAAGAGGAAAGTATCTTAAAAATAATATAGTTTACAAGGCAACAGCTAGGGTAGCTGAGTATAGTCAGGATGAAAAATATATCAGATCAACTGAGAATGAATGAAAAAAATATTATAGCCATGAGTTGAAAAAATAAAAGGTATAAGAAATTGACTAAATTATTCACTTTTATTGGAAATCTCAGGAAAATTTGGAAAGTCATCTCAAGATAAAAGGAAAATAATAAAAAAGAGGTTTTTGCATTAAGAGACAGCACAAATAAGTACAGAATTTGCACTGGGGAAAAACTAACAGTATTAGAATTGAATATGGATGAAAGGCTACTGAATAAAAGATTGGAGTTGGTTATAAAATGTAAACATGTAAATAAGTATTTACTATGCCATCTACCCCTTGGTTAAGGTTTCATACTCATCTGTCTGGTTGAAGCTTCTCTTCTTTTTCTCAGTTAATAATCAACCAGACCTTTTACATATCTCATGGGGTGTTTTTAGCTTACTTTCTTCCTCTCCCATGTATTAGTTTATACTAGATATCAGACTAATCAAGAACCTATACTGGCAGCAAACAGCATGTATACGCATAGGAATGAGTTCAGTGAATATACGAAAATAGAAAGGGGCATAAAACAAGGATGCATCTTCTCGCCTGACCTGTTCAACCTATACAATGTGGCAATTCTGAGAAAACTGGAAGCTCTACTGAGATTTAGCATTGGCAGCCACAATCTTATCAATATAAGATACACAGATGACACAGTACTGATTGCAGACACAGAAAAGAAATTACAAAATCTCCTATAGAAGGTAGTAACAGAGAGTGTGAAGAAAGGACTAAGCATAAACTACAAGAAAATGGAATACATGGTCATCAGTAAGAGGATGAGCCCAAAATGCGATTTGCATGTCAGGAACACTAGAATCAAGCAAATGCAAAAGTTTAAATATATGGGAAGTGTCTTGACAGAGGACAGTAAGCAACACTGAGATCTGTAGATGCATTGAGATGGCCAAGGACACATTCCAAAAGCTGGGCAGAGTATTGTGAGACAGGAGGATTTCTTTGGTAACAAAGAAAAGAATACTAAACTGTTACAAGACATCTGTCCTTCTTTACTGCAGCGAATGTTGGACGATTTCCTCAAAGATGAAGAGACTCAAGACGACAGAGATGTGGTCCTACAGAAGGATGCTAAGGATATCATGAACCGAGCATGTGAGCAATGATGAGGTCTTAGAGAAGTTGCAAACAAGGAGGAGGCTTATACTTAACATCAGAAAGAGGCAGCTGAAGTTTCTGGGACACATAATGAGAAAGGAGGGCCTGGAGAATCTGATACTCATGTGTTGAATAGAAGGAAAGAGAGACAAGGGAAAACAACACATGACATACCTGGTGGGCTTAAACAAGTGGATGACAGAATGTAGTCTGGGGAAGGAGGCAGAAGGAAGGAACTTGTTGAGAGCTGCAAGGGATAGAGGTAAGTGGAAAGCCATGATCAACTATGCCCTGAAAGGACATGGCACATGAAAGAAAGAAGGGTCATTTATTTCTTTTTTTTTTTTTTGTTCTTTGGACCATCTGAAGATCACCTTATAGGATAAAACTTGAAGTCACAATGAGGTTTTTATATCTTTGATGTTTTGGATTATATATATATATATATATATATATATATATATATTGTTATTGTTAATTTATTTTGTTTAAACGTTATTCTTGATGGATAATCATATTGAAGTAGAAGCTCTGTTTTTCAATTAAACAGTATTTTTTATCCAACTACATCTACTGGCCTGAATATTCGAGAAATCTTGTCAGAAAAATATGAAGTAAGCATTGAAGTCAACACTCAGAGGCAACAGACTTTTTTGTGCTAAACACAATCATTTCAAACTAGTCACAACACATTACATTGCATCTAGATATATGGTTCTGTTGTTAATATTTTGGTCTCTCACATAGTATGACGTCATAGAACCGCATCATGAATTACGACCTGCATCTGCTATTCTACCACCATTATCATCACATAGCAATCTTCTATGTCAACATAACAGAATATCATCTTTAATAGTGAATATCTTTGTTTAAATATCCATATAACCACTCTGAAAATGGCTCATATAAGCCAAAGCTTAGATTAAGGACCAGTTTAATAAAAAAATATCCAAATGTTGGACAATTTTGTCTTTATTTTCATCCAAAATTAAAAACAAACATACCAAGTTTAGAACAGCTCATGATCAGACATAATAAACATTCATAATTTGTTATATTTAACAATATATATATATATATATATATATATATATATATATATATATATATATATATATATATATATATATATATATATATATACACACACACACACTCATATATATATTTAGAAATATACATAATAACTTACATTAATTTCACAACTCCAAGTTTCATGTGAAGCACTTGTCAAATATTAGAATTACTATTTTTATTTCTATTTTTATTTTGGATAGACACCAGTTTTTTTTTTTTTAAATTTCTGGTTCTCACAAGAGACTTTATTGTTTGGGTGGAATATTATTGTTTATGCAGAACCTGGGGAATTTAAATCATCAATTTTCTTTTGTATAACAAGACCCCAAGTTATCAAAAATCTGTTCTCAATTGTGGAATAAAAAATGCAATAAAATTAAGACATTATTTAATTAGAAAAAACCCACTTTTATGTAAATATAAATTAAGGAATTTTTACAAGATATTTTCATTTTTTTTTATTCAAATAATTTATAAGGTTTTAAATCTTTTAAATTTCTATATTAATTTTTACTGGTTAGGTGATATTGTTATGTAAAAACCCTATTGACTAATATTTTAAAGAGAATTTTGAATTTTTTTTTGTGTGTGTGTGTGTGTATGTACATGCTGATTTTTGTAAATGCATACCTCCATATATAACATTATCAGAAAATAAGAGCAATAACTCTAGTAAAATTAAAACCAGAAAGTACCTAAAATTCTATAAAACATTAAATTATGGACAATATTTTCCTAAATTTTTAAGATTACTTGATAGTTAAAAATTATATAAAAAGAAGCTCATGTTATATTCCTCATATTGTTTTTAATATGTCTGCCATAGAAAAAAATTAGATAAACTACCATCTTTCAGTCAAGCTGTCAAGTTGTCAACACCTTGTTAAAAATTGCATTTGTGATATTTTAAACTAAAAGTAAATAATAGTTGTTTCAAATCAGAATAATTAAAATTTAAATCAGCTAATATTTTGCAAATAAAGTTTCAGAAAAGTATATTTAATTTTTGAAAGATATTTTAATAAAGGGAATTAATTCATAAATACAGATGGCTAAAAATGGCACTAAAATCATCAATTTTAACAATTTCAAAACAAAAACTTATTTCCAGTCAATCTAAATTAGTTTTGAAATACAGCAAAGCTATTAAAACTAAAATAAAGGCTTCAAGAAAAATTTTTCATTTTTAAAAATTCATTTTAAACCTTAAGTATCACGGATCTGCAAATTAGGCAATTATATATATATATATATATATATATATATATATATATATATATATATATATATATATATTGTTTGTTAGAAATTTCAAACTTTATAATACTTGCTTTTCTCACAAATGACAGAAAACAAAACCAATGTCTTCTATAAGACTCAGGCATTGTGATTTTGAAACCTTCAGCCTAAGTTTTTTTTAACAATGCTTAAGTCTCATAGTTATTATATTCAGATACACGGTATTGTAATGGAGGATAATGGATCAGAATAAGAAATTGGAGAAACAAGTTCAAATTACAGTCAAGTTCGTCACATTCACTTATGAACAAATAATGTTGGGAAAGGTATGAATGCATCTCTTCTCCCCCTCACCTAAATTGCAAGGACTGGGCCCTACTTGGTTGGCAAACAGTCTAGAGAAGGAAATATCTGAATTCAAAACAGCCTCCATCAGCCTATCTTGCCTAAGACACACCACTGCTGCTACAGATGCAGTACAAATGGGTTATGGGACACATGATCATGATATTATATTCATCTCTATACTAAGATTGCTAACTAAATTTTTTGAGCACATCCTATATACCACATCTTTTCAATTCTTTATTTTCCCATGTAGTGCTTTGTCAATTATCTTTTTTACTTTCAAAGAGGTGAATATGCTTCATTTTCTTCCCATCTTTCTTTCATAAGATGCAACCCCCTTGAGTTTGACATAGTACTTTAAAACATGACTACTATATGCATTTCTAAAATCTCAAATCCCAAAAAGGGTATGCAAAGTGGCAAAATGTCTTCTGAAGCAAAAGATGGCAATATGAATGATTTATTCTTCAATAACTTTCTGCTATGCTTCCAAGTTTTTAAAATAAAAACAGAGTCTATAGAAAAAATAAGATAATGACTTCTTTATATGTGATGATGAGGGTTCTACAAGGGCAAACAGAAAATTAAAAATAACCACCAACTATTCATATAAGAGACAGTCAATTCTTTTTTATATAAATTTGCACATTTTTTTGAATGGTTCAAGTCATGGCAGTTACCTGATAGAAAACAGTAGTAAATTGTAGCCAAGAGTCATGCATGGATTATCACTATTTTTTTAATCTAAAAAAAACCCTTTGAGTATATAAAAGAACTCAATTTATTAAGAACCTCAATTTTAGTACTCCCATGATTACTAATAATATATAAAAAAAAAGTAATTTTTTGCACTAGTTTGTTATTTCTATATATGGTTAAATCCTCAGAAGTGATTCACCAACCTTAATCCGGATTGAATGTGGGACTTGTGGGGATTTGGGGAAAGTATCTTTTTAGAAAAAATAAAAAGAATATTAAAAAAGAAAACTATGTAGGAACATCTTTCTGATAGATGAAGAATTCCTGAAGAAGTTGCAGAATCAGTATTTCAATTATTTCAATTTCAAAATTACCATATAAATTCATTATTATGAAAATAATATTATAAATACATAGCAATAAAATTATATTTACAAAAAATAACATATATCTTGAAAGAGAAAATTATATGAAATAAATAATGAAATAATATTACAAAAGAAACAAAATACAGATTCAATATTTCAACATAATAACTATCATAGTTCTCTTTAAAAACAGCTACTTGGACATTTTAAAATTTTCTTCCCTGTACATACAGAAATCATCAAAACCTGAAAAATAGTGATAATTCCTATTTTTAACTTACATTTACACTGAATTCCATCACCTTCATATCCAGCCTTACATATGCACTGGTATTGTCCGATCCTTGTGCCACATGCACACACTGCATGCTTTGAACATTTATTGTTGCACAAATCTTTGTGACTTGCAATTTCCCATACTTCAGGTTGAGAATCTGTAAAAGAAAGTCAGCCAAATGAAAATATACATCAACCTTCACAATCACATAAAATTCTAACCCAGAAAAACTATGAAGTAATAAAAAGCATATCTTTTTATTCTAATGTATAGAAAAAATGTCCCCCACATCTGAATTTCTAGATGTGCATTTTGATAAAAACAAAAAAAATGAATGCCAAAGTTCAAATGAAAAGTAAATATTTTATGCACAGTTCTTAATTTAGAGTGTGCATAATACTATAGACTATTTAAAAGTCAATAACAATATATATATATATATATGTGTGTGAGTGTGTGTGTGTGTGTCTGTGTGTGTATACTGAGATACTGAGCATACCCACAAATATAGCATACCTTAAAACTATATTTTGTCATATTTAGCTCCTGATAGAGCACTTTTGCTATATAACCTATCATGGGCATAGAAAAGTTTAGCCTCAACTACTCCCTAAAAAACATATCCACCCCATCACCATCCGCATACAAACTAAAATTAATAGAAAAAATAGAAACCTTCATAAAAAGAATGAAATGGAAACACATTTCTTGTTTAATGAAGAAAACACAAATAGCACACCCAAGGAAAAATACAGCTTTTAAAACAAAAAATGTCCCCCACAAAACAAAGAACTAGATGACTTTGAGAAAGACATGACTAAATTAGTAAGAAACATAAACAATTAGACGCCTTCCGAAAATCTAAGAGATATAACTAAAATAAACAATTCACCTAAATTAGTTATTTCAACGGACAAAACTAGAAATTTATGCAAACTAACCCCCCCAACCCCCAAAAAACAAATTATTCAAGGACAATGTAACTAAAACATACAGAAAAGCACCAAAAGCAACAGAGCACAATATTAATATGGAAGCTAAAACAATTGCTCAAACATTAAACTGAGACAACCAAATAAATTGCATTGCTAAAGCACAAGCATTTATCACACTAAAAGATCACAAAGAAAGTTTCAGAATAGACTCAACATGCCGACTCATAAATCCAATCAAAAGTGAAGTAGGTAAAATAAGTAAAAAATATTAGATAGTATTAATTCAGACCTAAGAAGGAAGTTAGGAGCAAATCAGTAGAAAAAAAACAATTATTGACTGGTGCTGCAACCTAAAAAACAAATATAATTGCCAATTTACACAACTAGATATAAAAGAATTCTATGCTTCTATAGAAGAACCCATTCCAAATGAGGCCATCTCCTTAGCTGAAGAACAAATAAAAATAAACAAAAATGAAATAAAAATCAATAAACACTCACGAAAATCACAATTATTCAACAATGAAGATGCATGGATAAAGAAAGAAGGGATCTTTGACATTACAATGGGAAGCTTCAACAGTGCAGAGACCTGTGAGGTCATAGGTATACATTTGCTACTCAAACTAAGTAAAATAATCAATAAAAATGATACAGGTGTTTACATGGACGATGGCCTCATAATCTTAAGAAACTGTAACAAACAAAACACAGACAAAACTAGAAAAACAATCATAAACTTTTTTAAAATATGGGATTTGACATATATATATAAAAACTAACCTAAAAGCAGTAGACTTTTCAACCTAAGAAAATACACATATCAACCATGCAGAAAAACAAATGACAGACCACTGTATATAGACACATCTTCCAACCAACCACAAACAATAATGAAGCAGATCCCACAATCAATTAACCACAGGCTTTCTAAAGATTCTTCCAGCGAAACCATCTTCAACAAAGCCAAGAAAGACTAGGAAACAGCCCTACCAGATAGTGGATTTCCAGCAACACTGCATAGCACAAAAAAAAGCCAACAGGAAAAGAAACATCATATGGTTCAACCAACAAAAATGTAAAAACAAACACAGGAAAAATATTGATTAAACTCATACACAAACATCATCAAGCACTCTCCATAAGATATTCAATACAAACTAGCTAGAGTTACACTGGGAACATGACAAATAATAAACCCATGTAGAACAACAAACAAATATTCCTTAAATGGCAATGATTTGCAGAACAATATAATATACCAAGTCACTATAAAGTCAGCAAATAACAAAGAAAAAATATACATAGGAATAACTGAAGGACCCTGGAAACAAAGAAACTATGTACACAAAACATCATTTACAAATAGTAAATACACGAGCATGACAATGCTTTCTAAACATATCTGGGAGATTAAAAACAAAAAACAAATCACACCAAAAATATCATGGAAAATAAAGAAAACAGCATCAGACTACAAAAAATTAAAAAACTCTAAACACTATCTGAACAAGAAAATAGCTACTTTCCCAGACAAACACAAACTACTAAATAAATAAATAGAACTCATCTCAAAATGCAGATAAAAAAACAAATTTTTATTACATTACTTAAAAATCAAAAACTAAAAATAAACCAGAATAAACAAAAATGAGTAAATAAATAAATAAAATAAGTAGAATAAATTAATCCAAAACAATAAATAAGTAAATTAGGTAAATGATAAACAAATTAACAAACCATGAATGCACACATAAAAAGTAAATGTAATAATCACAACCAACAATAATATAATCAATAACAACACTATAAATAGCCAAAAAACTGCATCCAGATACACGATTATTTCCACTCAACGGCCCCTAGAATAATTTGAAGTATAACTGTTACTGCCCACCAAAATAACCATTAGAACAATACAATAGATTACCCACAATACATCATTGACCTGTACATATAAATAATCAAACAAAAACACAATGTATATGGCCTGACAATTGCGTTTGAGTATGAAACAGACTGTCACCTCTGGGTGTTGACTTCAATGTCCACTTTTATATTTTTTTATTTATATACACTGTATCCCTGATACTGAGCACTTTAACCCATATTTATATATAGCATACCTTAAAACTATATTTTATCATATATATATATATATATATATATATATATATATATATGATGGATGTCTGCCAATTTCAACATATGAGGATCCAACAACCTCATTCAGTTTTTATGTTCATGTCATATGTAACACTTCAAGAATATCTGCTGATGCTTTTCTCTGTTCTCTTTTATTGACTGGCTAAGAGATCTTAGCCAGTCAATAAAACTGATTTCCAAATTTCTGATAACACTCTCACGAATATCTCCATTTATTTCTATCCAGGTTAACTCACTCAAATTTAGCATGAGGTACATTGACAGCTCTTTAGCTTGTCTTTATACCTGAGCCACAACTGTCCAACAGTCCTTTGTCTACTGTCAGGCTGGATACATGAGGGCCTTAGGTATTCTATTGTCACTCATCCATTCAACATGACCAGCCCAGCAGGGTTGTAACTGCATCAGGAAAGTCTCAATCCCACAAATGTTACATTTTGCTAGAAGATCAGCATTGGATACGCTATAGTCACAAGTATAGCCACACATCATGCGGAGACAACTTTTGTGGAAGATATCCAGCTGATTGATATGGGAACTATATGGGGTCCTTGATTCTGAGATGTATGACAATATATATATATATATATATATATATATATATATATATATATAAAAATAAATATTTAAGTAAATGCTCTGTTTTTTTTTCGGAGGACCAAAATTTTCTATGAAAATTTCTTGGACATTCAGGCCAGTAAATGTTGTTTAATACTGTTTATTATAAAAAAAACAGAGCATTTACTTAAATATTTGTATCTATAAAAAGAATGTATAAACATAAAAATGTCTTAAAATAATTGTCGGACTTTGTCCATTTCATGTGTGACGTCATTTGTTTACATTTGATACGCCATGAGCAAATATGAATGTACGTGAGAGATTCATAGAAGATTGAAGTTCAAATACAGTAAATTCGACCTTGCTAACTGAATGCTCCTCTGTGGCCAAATCAGGTAAAGGCACGTCAAGCTAAATGACAGTTCCATATAGGATACAGGTTCGAATCCTGTCGGAGGATGAAAATTTTCTATGAAAATTTCTCAGACATTCAGGCCGGCAAATGTTGTTTAATACTGTTTATTATAAAAAAAAAAGCATTTACTTAAATATTTGTATCTATAAAAAGAATGTATAAACATAAAAATGTCTTAAAATATATATATATATTATACATGTACAATGCACTCATCAGATTTAAATATTGTCATTTATACTGTAATGATAGTGAAACAATCCATTTATTTATGGGGTGGGTGTATGCATGTATATATACACACCTATATATACATATATATACGTATATGTACATACACATAAAAACATGTCTAATGTGAATATACAACTTACAATATGATGCAATGTATATATCTTAACTGTAATTTATGCACAGGTAACATAATGACATTGCACATGTACATATACAGTTCTAAATTCACATATATACTTATACAGTTCTATATTCTAGTATTTGAAATAAAGTGTATTAGAATTGAGCTATAGGATTTTATTTATTCTTTTGATAGTAGGTAGTATAGTAGGAATTTGTTTTACATCTCTGCATTTGGAAATTAGATCTGATCTGCCGAGACTTTCTGGAAAAATGATTCTTGCTATTTTCTCCTCTAGGCAAAGGTCACATTATTTTGTGATATTGAAGTAAGCTGTTGTATTTTTTTTCTTTATTTTCCATGTTACTTTTGGTGTATTTAGGTTTTGAGATTCAATATATATATTTTTGAGAGTATTGTGCTACTTGCATACTTTCTATCATTAAATGATATTTTGCATGGGTACCTTTTGTGTTTCTCAGGGACCTTCTATTATTTCTATATATGTCTTTCTTTGGTTTCCTATGTATTTTACAGTAGCTTTGTATATTATGTTGGTTCATTGGTATTTACCTATTTAGTGGATATTCAGATATACAGATCATAAACACCACAAACTACTTCAATTTCTCAAGAGAAATGTTGTGTATCACCAATAACCAGCAATAACCACCACATCACTTTTAAGAAGATTGACATGTCATCTTTCCATGCAAAGTAAATAT